AAGCATAATCTCAGTTAATGGTTGAGATAGGTGGTCAGGGTTGCCACCCCCCAGTGCTGCAGTCTTGTCCTGATCAACGGCTTGAGCTGCTCTTCTGTGACTCAGGGAGGCCTGGGCGACGTCAGCTTTTCTATAGACAAGAGGCAAGAGTTGTAGAGGGGAGTCTCACAGGGTCCTGCTCAGTATTAGGGTCAGATGAAACTCTACTGATGTAAGGTACAGTTATCATTACATCTTAGAGTCCTTCTGCGCTTAAATATTCAAGGAGAAACATGTTAAGGGTTGAGGGTGTTTAGCTTGGTGGGCGAGGAGAGAACGTTCAGTGATCAGGTTGATGGTGAAAGCACATGCCAGGAACTCCCAGGAACTCGTCTTCAAAGCTCATCCAGGTGACAGATGGCTCTCAAAACGCAGGATGGGGAGGTTCCGATGAGGCACCTAAATCTAGCTGCCATTTGCTGTTTCAGTTCACGTGGGCCAGTGCTTTTTCTCAGCCCTTCAGAGCTGCCCGGCCACTTTGCTTACGTCATCAATCTGGCATTTAATCCTAATTGAATTAGGTATATGTTCTGCTCATCAAATTCTTAAATTGTTAGAAAATGCAGAGAAGTTGATGGGTTTGCCTGCCTGCCCACCCTTTCTGCTTTCTCGGTGGCGACTTTATCTCTGATTCCCTTCGAGCCATCCCAGTCGCAGCCTCTTCCTCTCCCTGAAGGTCGCCTCTCACACGCAGGCCTTCTCTTTTCACCGGCTGTCGGAAATGCTTATCTTCTTTCTTTGCAGAAGCAGTTTCCTTTTCCTTCCATTGTAAAAGGTTCTGCATCGTGTGTGGACTGCTCACCGCTCCGACACTTACTGAACAAGAGGAGTGGAAGATAAGGAGGCCAGTTCCAGGTTTCACCTCTTCCACCCCAGGCCACAGGTTATTGCTGGAATGATCTTTCTAAATGGAAATGTAACTTACTTGCTACAAAGCCCAGTGACTCCCCTCCATCCAGGCTCCTTGGGCCACACAGGCGTACAAATGTCTTCTGTTTGCCCTGCACCATGTTGGCTTCTGCAAAGTTTAAAACAACTTAAATTAGTAAGAACAGGAAAGCTTGGAAGATGGCTTATAAAATCCAGGGTTTGTGGTGGGAGGGTATAGCTCAGTGGTAGAGCGCATGCTTAGCGTGCACGAGGTCCTGGGTTCAATCCCCAGTACTTCCATTAAAGAAAAAAAAATTCAGGGTTTGGGTGATGGTTAGATGGGCTCCAAAAACTGGGTCAGGTCACCCCTTAGCCACAGCAGTGTTTTCTGGATGACACAGCTAGTACCCGGGCCTTGTCACTTCCCCCCACTACAAGGTCAAGTTCAACTTGAGTTAAGGTCTCCCCCAAAACAGGTGTGCGGATCCTTCCCCAGCAATCAGGCCCCAACCTGCCTCTGTCCTCCCCTCCTGCCGCGTTCCCACGGGCATTCTCCGTGTAGCCAAGCCACTAAGTGGATAATTTCCTTGTGTGAGAGTTTGCTGACTCATATATTTTATTTTGGTTTTTTTGTTTGTTTGTTTTTTAACCAAAGAGACCCATTTTGCAGACCCCTCTGGAGCATCCATTTAGCAGCAAGGTGTGTGGCTGGTCCTGCTGCCACCGTGGAGTGTTTCAAGGAGTATCATTTTAGATTTTCATGGTGTATTGATCCAAAGCCTCTGCGAAGGGCAAGAAGCACAGAAAGAAAGAGAACAGTTGGGCCCTTCCTCTGCTTACGGTCATTTCCAAAACCAAGACGTGCCATTTGGTCAGGAATTTGCAGACATTCTGCTCCGTGAGGCTAACAGTGCAGCGGCAAAAAGGTTTACCTTGGTTGTCAAACATCACCCATTCTTTCCCAGAGTTACAGGGAAATTGGTATATCGCTTAGCCTCATTATTTGTACTTCTGGACAAAAAAATCAATTAGAGCTATTGAGTAATTACTTTATTGCTGTTCACATTAAGTTCAAAAGCTTGCAGAGGATTGATTTTCAGAAACCCAGGCATTTGCTTCTCCATTTTCAAGAAATTGCCGTATACGCTGAGCTTTGTCTTGCTGGCGTCATCACTCATATGCGTTGTGTTCTGTGCTGTTTCAAAATCCTGATTTCCCCAGGAAGAGTCAGGCTTAAGGAATTTACATCACCCTAGCCAAGCTTCTCAGGTCTATTTGTAACCTACAATATTGCTTTTCTGCACATTTATTGAATACCCTGCTGAGGGTGTGGCCCTGTCCTGATCTCTGGGGAAAGAAAAATAAATCATAAATACAGTGTGGTTCCTGCTGGTTAGAAGCTTATGGTCCAGAAGTGGGACAGTCACGTACGCAGATCTGCAATATATACTGTGCTCAGTGTAGGGTGACCTTACATCCTGGGACGTCCTGGTTTATGTCTGTAGTCCTGGTGTAACTATTAGCAGCTATCTAAGGGCCACGGTAAAAGCCTCTATGAATGTTCTGGGTACAGAAATGGTGGAAAGCAGGGAGAACTCAGCCTGCTTTCCCAAAGCCGACACTCTGGCTGGGTGAGGAAGAAGTCTGGGCAGTCAAGGTCTAGAGACTGGAGGTGGAGGGGGTGGGGATGAGGTGTGCAAAACTCTGCAGGCAAGAGGGAGATTGTTCCAGAAGCAGCAATCCATTGGCTAAAGCTGGTCCTTGTTTCCCAAATTTCTCCTGTGAAAAAAACTCCCCAGGACACTTGGTAAAAAAATGTAGATTTGCAGATCCTGCTGGCAGTTTGGGTTTGTGTCTTGATCAAGAAGCACCCCCGTTGATTCCTGGACATAAACACGATTCAGAACCAGTTCTCTAGTGATCACAGCTAGGATTCCAAAAGGCCGGAATAGCGGGGAGAGGAACGGCAAGACTGGAGCACAAGTCACAGAGCAGCCAGGCAAGGGTGACCCCAGCTGAGAAAACTCTCAGAGGTGGAACCAGCTGGGAGACATTTACAGTAGCTCTATGAAAAATGGGACTGCAGGGACTGTCAGACACAGCCAGGATGCAGAGGAATGAAAAGCTTGGAGGGCTATTCAGGAGGAAGAATGAACAGGATCTAGTATATAGCAATCACTGATTTACATGGGTCATAAGATTTCCAAGCAGCAAAACACTTGTGTCAGATCTAGGAACCTGGGGGTCCTTATAAATAATCTGAAGGTTTATGTGATGAGCCATAAACCTAAAAATAATAACAGTTGGATAGTGTTTGGGTTCTTTTATGTAGTCCTAAAACACACACACACACACAAAACAAAAAACGACTCCTGTTTATTTCACATCTTTGTAGTCTCCACAACAGTCGTGACAGTTGTGACAGTTGTGATGTGTTTATCTCTGGGAAGGGGCTGAATGAATTCTAAAGCATCCAGATAACCCAACCCTTTAGTCTAGACTTCAAAAGACAAACCTCTGCCCTTCTGTTATGGGAAGAGTACCTGCCACGCCGTATCTTGCATTATTTTTGCTTTTGTTTTTATTATTGAATGTGTAAGACAGTCATGATTCATCAGCAGTATGCATGCCGACCCCTTCCAGGGGAGACGTCTCTTTGGCACCTTCAGCTTGACTGTTCCTAAATTCT